CTAAACTGAAAAAAGTTATTCACATTATAACAGAAGCGACATTTTGGTGTGCGACGAAATTAGTGTTGAGTAGTTTATATATATATATATAATATTATAAATATTAGCTCTGGTCGAGGCTTTAGTAGAAATTATCACATCATTGTCATCTGCTGCAACTCCTTCCTCAGAAACAATTTTCTGAGAAAATTTCAGCATCAGCTCTCATGTTTCCTGAAGAATCCATTAATGCACAGGCGGGGTCAGAGACAGATGAATAATTGTTTGGACTACCATTATCGGATATATTCAAAATACCAGATGTTTCCATTATAATTCGTCTTTTATGACGATATGAGTAAGATGAAAAGGAACGCCTTGACATGGTTTCAAGTTCCAAGTGATTCCAATTTCCAAGTGAAAAATGAAAATTTATTTATACTCACCCCGGCTTTAAACTTTACTACTACAAACAGGAACACTGAACAGCGTGCCGGTGCCGTGTGCCGTGAAACGAAACGATGAAACGGAAACGACGCTAATAAAATACCTTCAGTGTCAACTGTCAAGTTCCAGTGTCACGACTGTCACGAGTCACGACCAGTGTTGCCACAATCTTCTTTTTGATCGAGGTAGATTCCTTGAACGAAGCGGTGTAGAACAATTTCGAAACGAGGTAGCTTCAATTGAATTTGATCAGCGACTTAAGTGAACTGTTTCGCTATTGTATTCATCCTGTCTCATGATCGAGCTCAAAAATACATGCGGAATTCTCGCGAGGGTAAAATTATATCGGCAACCTTGGACGGACCTACGGACTAAGCGAAATTCAAATATTGTGTATTACTCGTACATCGCAGCGACAGAACATTCGTAATATCGAAGTGTTGCCTCATCGCGACATCTCAGAGATGTCATTTCGCAGATGTGTTTGCTTCTGTACATCGCAGCGATATGACATTCGTAATATCGCAGTGTTGCCTCATCGCGACATCTCAGAGATGTCATGTCGCAGATGTGTTTGCTTCTGTACATCGCAGCGATGACACATTCGTAATATCGCTGTGTTGCCTCATCGCGATATCTCAGAGATGCCATGTCGCAGATGTTCGCTTATGTACATCGCAACGATAGAACATTCGTAATATCGCAGTATTGCCTCATCGCGATATCTCAGAGATGCCATGTCGCAGATGTTCGCTTATGTACATCGCAACGATAGAACATTCGTAATATCGCAGTGTTGCCTCATCGCGACATCTCAGAGATGTCATGTCGCAGATGTGTTTGCTTCTGTACATCGCAGCGATGGAACATTCGTAATATCGCATTGTTGCCTCATCGCGACATCTCAGAGATGTCATGTCGCAGATGTGTTTGCTTCAGTACATCGCAGCGATGAAACATTGGTAATATCGCTGTGTTGCCTCATCGCGATATCTCAGAGATGCCATGTCGCAGATGTTTGCTGATGTACATCGCAGCGATAGAACATTCGTGCATGATATCGCAGTGTTGCCTCATCGCGACATCTCAGAGATGTCATGTCGCAAAAGTGTTTGCTTATGAACATCGCAGCGATGGAACGTTTGTGATATCGCACTGTTACGTAGACGCGACATCTCAGAGATGTCATGTCGCAGATGTGTTTGTTTATGAACATCGCAGCGATAGGACGTTTGTGACATCGCACTGTTACCTAGGCGCGACATCTCAGAGATGTCATGTCACAAATGTGTTGGCTGGGATTCATGAAATATTCTCAACTGAATATTCGGTGGTGAATATTCATGAAATATTCCATGAACATTCCTTTGTTTCTCAACACATAAATACCATTTATTATTTCAGAGATATGAGTATCGAACATCAATTAGATGTAAGGGGATTTTGAAACAAAAAGTGTTTATGATCCGATTTCGAACAATGCTCTCACAAGAACTTGATATGTATAACATTATTCAATTCGATTACTGGCCTAGTGGTCAAGGCGTTGCTCTGATAGTCTTGAGGTCACGAGTTCGATCCCCACTTGGATCACTTTTTTTAATTTTAGAATATGTTTATTGGAATATTCCAGGAACATTCAACATAGAATATTCTTTTGGGTATATTCGATGATTATCTGAGGAATTCCCATTCGCATATTTAGAGAATATTCCACAGATATTCCGGAATATTCCAGATTATTTCTAGAATATTCCAATATTCCAAAAGGAATATGATAGGGAGATTCATGGAATATCTGGTGCTGTCTGGGATCTGGACGTCCCCAGGACGTAAGAAACGTCTTGGCCGGACGTTCTCAGTACGTTTTGGGGAAGTACTCGTGCTAAATTGGTAAGGCCGAGCTAAGATTGATTATTTAGAAAAAGTAGTCTCTTTTCTTGTGCAGAAGAGATATTTTCCTCCCTTATATTCGCATGAATCATGAAAAAAATCATCACGTTTGCTTCAAAATTTCGAAGGACTATTATCAAGCATCTGGCAAATGACAATCGATTGGAATAACGCGGTGAAACCCGAATGCGATGTACTGAGCGCTCGATACAAATATGCAACCCGCCACCCAGATGCTTATCGTAAATACAAGGTGTTTTTGAAATGAGTGCAAATATTCAGCACATTAATATGATACAGTCTGAGGAGAATTCCCATGATATCAGATTTTTTCTAATTCTTCTAATTAAAGAGAAATTTCATCCCAAAAATTGAACGAAATACGAGGAAAAAATCAAGTACACCACTTTTAATCAATTTAAATTATTGAACTCCGCGTGATGGTGCCTACCGCATGAAAATTTGAACAGAAGTGACGTCAGATTTGCTACAGTGTAGAACTTTGGGCGGAAAAGGGGGTCTAACCTCAAATTTTATTTTGATCCCTAAATTTTTTTGATTAGTGCCATTCGATTGCACACGTCGAGCTTTCTCAGTGTTTGAAATATTTGCACTTATTTCAATGCCACCCTTGTATATTCGATCCAAATGTCGAAAGTCGAACACAAAAAACAACTGAATGACGCCCTTGCCAATGATTTCGTAGTTACCCGGTATAAGTGTCAACGGTTGACATCAATATGTCACTGAAAATATCTCGTTTTGGGTCGACTTGCATTACGGAAAACAGAATCAAATCAATACCAGCCCAGCGAGCACAAACATCCCTGGGATGTTTTGAAAATGTTGGCATGAAGATGTTATTTTGAGGCGTAATATGCACTTCCCAAAGAGGTATTTGAAGGATATTGAAGTATTGTTTTTGTTCTTCTGTGGCATTTCTTTGTTTGCCCCACCACAACGTCTCATGCTTGCGTCACAATACGATGAATTCTGATTTGTTTTCGATGTTGTTCTTCTTGTTCGCAATTGGCATTCGCATTTGCAACGTGTCACGCTTACATCATACGCTGCTAACGAACAGAAAGGAATTTGGTGAAGTTTATTGTGTTAGAAGACTTATTGAGTTTGTAATAATGACCATCAGATGCAAGATGTGTTGTTCGGTGCCTCAGTGTAATCAATATATAAAAGTACGAATTCATCAATACACAGCTTCTCCGCAGTTGCAAAATTATGCATTGTGGACAACATTTCAAAAATTGGGAAACCTATTTCCAATTATATGTCTAGCTGTGTGTAGTAAGCACTGTAAGCACTACTCAGAAACCGATTAAGAAGGTAATTTCATATCAAGAAAATATTTTTATGTTGGAAATGGAATCCTAATGCAAAAGTTCATTTTGACAAAAGGCTTCAGAAGAGTACATCGAAAATGGTTTTTTACAGCGATTTAATGTGCGCAAGACGCGTTGAAAATGTTCTGTTGCGTCCATGAAAAGGCTTTAAAAAGAACTAGGGAGAAGGTAGTTTTGTGACATATCAAGGACATCTCGATAATTGCCGCCTGCGGCGGACATTGGCTGTTCTATAATAGTTCTATTCATGTGTGAACAGAACATCGCAGTGGAGGTTCAATGTCTCGAAATCTCGTACTTTTAACATCTCTGAGATGTTTTTGTGCTCGTTGGGAGAAAACACATACCAAGAAGAGTTGAGGGTCCGCCTGGAAACAATTTTTTTTGCCAGTAGAAAAGAATATGAATTTTGTGCGACTAGCCTATAGCTATCGTAATCGGTTTTCAACTTCAATGAAATGTTAACTCTTATAATGGATAAACGAGTATATTTTATGCTGTTCATGAAATAATCTTGCTATATATCACTAGACCATGACAAGAAGAGGCTATCGTTTTCTTGAATCCATCTCGAGCAACTTGTATTTTGAACCAATTCAATTCGACCATATCAACAATAAATCGCGATTCAAACAACCATTGAGGAAGCAGCGAAGTAAGTAATAGTTATTAATACACCAAGGTAGTAAAGAATATCATTATTACCCAGGGACCAAGATTATATCTCGAGGCTCCAGCCTCTTAGATAGCACACCATATTATATTTACACCATATATTCACCTCCACATTGCCCATGTATCGGTTTTTGCGTCGTGGTTTCCACTAACGGTCTCGGTTAACTAACTACTCTCACGACAGGAATGAATCACTTCCCATCTCGGTGTGTAATATATACTATTACCGTCGGGCAACCCGCCGATGTTTTTATCTATGGACGTATATAAGACATTCTGGCGTTTTCCATAATATATCTTTTCGAGATCCTCTGCCAAAATCTCCTAAAATCGTCCATCCTTGGGCGAAGCGGCGCGAAGTCTATTCGTATAACGTATAGTCTCGTAACAATACAGTTCCTCAAAACCCATATTTTTCGTGAAAAAGCAATTGAATATCATTTCCAGTTTCACCGGAAATAGACCTAGGTCGAGAATTTTAATTTCATTTAATTCAAAATTCCGGCGGGCATTGAAATCCAGTACATCGTATTTTTATGTAGATATTGTGCTTTAGTTTATTGTACCAGTATTTCACCAGAAGAAACTGCTGATGTGTTAGCGAAACATGTCGTGTACTTAAGAGTTATGTGGAAATCTTATCGTTTGGGAAGTTTTTACATGGACTGACTTCAATCCCGTAAGTGCAATAATAATGATCCAAAATAGAATAGGTGGAGGAACAAATATTTATTCGGGAGTCTCTGAATAAGAACTGAACAATTCAAGTAATTCAATATTTCCATGGATACTTGCTAGTTCAGTTGGTGTATAATTCAAATTATCTTTGATGTGAAGAATTGCTCCATGTGACAAAAGAATTGTTGCCAAAGGTTTGTATCCTGATATTGCCACTAAGTGTATACAGTTTCTGTTCCATATAGAGTCAGTTACATTCACGTTTATACCTTTCTCCAATAATAAGTTGATTATTTCAAGTTGTTCAGATGAGGTACAGTACATGACGCATTCTAAAACAAAACAATCATTTGATTTATACAGGGTATTTTCAAAATTGAGACGATAAATGAAAAGGCGTTGTTGTATGAAACATAATGACACGATGAATCACACAAAGAAAATTCTTTGAATTAAAAAAAAGTGTTGCCTCTCACTATATTACATCTTGGAACTATTATTGATCGTCCAATAACATTGCAAAAGTCACTGATAATTTTGGTGCTCCTCTCTTCGCTGAAAGCAAACGTCTGAGTTTGGCTATCACTATTATAACATTTGATCAATTATTCACGAACGTTTATTCAGACAAAGTATAAGGTTCGATATCTTTCAAAATAATTTATTCTCGACAACCATATACCTACCATCATTATGCTGGGATAGCCTTGTATAATTTAAAACATACCATATACAGGGTGTTTCGTCTTAACCGTACATTAGACGTACTTTGGTGTTCTAAAAATAAAACTGAAGTGACATTTACTTCGTTTTTTTTAATGGAACACCCTGTATATATTGATGGAAACTGCTTACATATCCCTATCTCAACTTTTGATTTACTATCTACTGACATATTCAATTCGAACAAATATATGGTTATCAGAATTCTAAATCTTGAACCACCCTGTATTTGTTCCATAATTATGAATGATGAATGGTTAAAGATGATACTCGTACTCGATAATTTCAAGAGCGGAGTTCGGCCAGCCGCATGCGGAAAAGTCATTTTATGCACGTGTTTGGTACACTATTTCTTTTACCAGCGTGCGAAAAAAACCCAGATGTTAACTTGAAGCAACATTCATCATTAGTAAATATCCAAATGTCAGTATACTCCGCATGATACTAAAACCAAGAGAAGATATGATCACTTATTGGCGTACGCGTTTTGAACAGCTTCGCGCATGACGTTACTAAGAGACAAATATTCTTGGCGGCGGTCAGTAAATCGTATCTTTTGGAGCAATTTATTCAAATCATTGATGAAATTGTTGATTGGATTACGATGGATCTATCATTCGTGGATTAGGTTTCTTAGTATTATATTTGTGATGAATCAAATATTATAGAATGAGAAAATAAACAATATTACAACTCTTTATTTCACTGGAGTTCATTATTAATATAAGGACACTAACAGCTGTTCATAATTTCATGTAAGTATTGTTCAAAGAAGAGAGGGAATGATACCTACTTACTGGAAAGTACTTGTTTTTAGAAGAATTCCATTCAAAAGATCACGAATGCATCTCTGAAGTCAATTTTCATAATTTCTTTTCTTCAATTCAATTTTCTTAATATTTTGAATCAACAATTCAATAAAAGTAATCATTATTATGTAAAACATGATTTTCTGGGGAAAGCTCAAATAAAATAATTCAATAAACTCAAGAATACTTTTTATTAACTACTATATAACTACTATGGTCATTTTATGTTTTCGAATGTTGGATGTTTCTTTAATATATTTGTTGAGGATTTTTATTTTTGAAATACATTTTACCTTTAAAAAATAGATTTTTTGCATCATCACCCAAATTAATAGTATCGGCTAATTTAGACACATTCTTTAGGTAGTTTTTCTCAATTTTTCCTTTTCGCGACGGGGATCGTTTGGCGCGCGTGAGCCACCACAACGGGGTTCGAAAGCGTGTTCGCATTTATGCGGGTCCCGTTGTTTGAGCCCCCGTGTATCAGATGTTTCAGTAAAATACGCATATATGCGTTTCCCGTCGCGAAAGGGTTAAATATGTTCCATTATATTGGTTGAATAATTGATCTGGCTTCGTTGAGAATTCTAAGGTAGGCTTTTGTAATCCACCTTCAGTCAAATGATTCGTCCATGAAAAAGAAGTTTCGTTACAATCTGGAATGAACCCTACTTTTTCTTTTTTAGTAGAACAAATGTATTTCTTGACTTTTTAATGTATAGTCATTCACTGAAAGGCATGCACTTATGAATGCAAAAAATAAGTATATTCCATCCATTTTTAGCCATCCAACTTCAAACAGGCGCGGACTCCCTCAGATGGAAAAATATATACTATTTATATACTTACTATACTTGTACTATTAATTATCTTTAATAATATCCGTCAATCCTGTTTATAATACCTTCTTTCTACGAGCATATGCGGAATAGTGAATTTTACGCATGAATTTTCGTTTTGAAACTTGTACTTTTCCGTACGATTTTACTTTTCCGCATTATTTTTAATTTTCCGCACTATTTCAAAGGAAATACCAGGAGACATGTGGTGATATCTATTGGCACCAGAACGTACCCATAGCAACAATCGCTATAAACTGACAGTAGTGGCAGTCGACAAATAAGCATTTCAGACCAATCTACTTTCCTCCATTCACTACACTAGTAATTCTGAGCAACAAATAACTGATCAAGGCATTTCTGTAGTGGGCCAAACACTAACCAATCAAATTCAAATAAGAAACGACGTTCTTCAAGATATTGCGGCATCATCTGCTATATTACAGCATGCAACAAACACAAATTTCACTTTCAATTTCAATATTTACCATCGTTAATGTTTCAGTTATTGTTATTTAAATGTTCTTCAAATAAGTTTTCTATTATATCCATGAAAAAAAATCTATTTCATCATTTTTAGTGCATGAAAATATTGTGCGGAAAAGTTACTTTACCGCACTAGTGCTGGAAAGTTACTTTTCCCGCACGATATTTGTATTGTTGAAAATAAGGATATTTAGAACTAACTATATGATCCTTGTAACATTCTGTCTAATGTGTCATTTTGTAGCATCATTATAAAATATTGTTCATTCAAAACCTTTTTTTTTTCATATATAATATGGACAAAAACGCTCGTAGGAAAAACTTTGTACCTAACTCTTGCGGAAAATGTCTTTTCCGCCCTTGAAGACTTGCCCAAACTCCGCTCCGCGTCGGTCGTGCAACTGATGTCGCGTGACTTGAATTAAAAACTACGTTCAAATATATAATAACATTTATTATCTACGAAGAAAGTCTGGTTATATTATTTTTCACAAATTCATTAAGATTTTGCCATATGATGAATTGACTGAAAAAAAAAATATATCTGATGTCTGCATCCTTGGTTTTTGACCTTGCAGAACTTCTTATGAAAAATGCTTGTTTCCTTGATTTTTTCCGTAAAATTAATAATAACAAGTTCTACATCAGAATCGAAACGAAATTATTGTAAGATATATCAAAACATGATATTTATCGTAGGTAGATGTAATTAGATATTCGTGTCATTTTGTAGCATCATTATAAAATATTGTTTATTCGAAACCTTTTTCTTTATCAATAATATGTACCTAACTCTTGCGGAAAATGTCTTTTCCGCTCTTGACGACAACTGCCGTCACGTGCGTATCACCGAGAAAAGTCCAGTTATACATGTCTCTATTTAAAAACTTCTTATAACCGCCAAATGAAACATTTCTTCCACGAAATGTCATCTGATGAACGTGAAAAGTTTACGTTTTCAACTTGAAACAGGTCGCCCTTTCAAATCACTCTCTTTGTTTCAAAAAGGTTATCTTTTAGATTCGAAATGAGACAAAATTATAGTTAAAAGATGGAAATTTGAAGATAATCATTCAAATCCTAAAAGATGTCATTTCACAGATATACAATTATCATTTAATTTCATCCCTTCTATCATTTTCCATCTTTGTCATACTCGTTTACCTCAATGAGTCATCTCACTCACCTATGAACACTTGTTCGATGATAATCGTTAGTCGCCTCCGGATTCCTGATATGAAAGGACATATTAGCTCGCGGCAGCTCGTGAACTCTTCTTGCAGAGTGATATTTTTTTTTTTTCGAAAAAGTGGAGTGGTTGAGAGATCTTCTAGAAATATTAGGGACATATTTGTTCATATATCCCCAAGATTTCTTGAGGAACTACAGAATGTTGAACTGCCTCTGGGCGTTATAGTGTTTTCACGATATATCGGTAAGTGTATGTATCGGAATGTCTTCCAAATTGGAAAAACTTTTATTTTTTCACTCACCTCACTTTTCACTATGTGGCAAAAGCTTGGATTTGAACAGTTTTATCGGTGATAGATTGTATTGCGTATACATTGTGTCCAAGATTAATGATTACTATCATGGGGATCTCGAAAACGTCGTTAGAATAGACTCCCTTTTGTAAAGCTCAAGTGGCAATAACGGTAAATAAAATAAAACGAAATGTGCGAATGTGAACTCTAATTTTCTGACGATACTGTGTAATTACATTTTTGGCCACTATGTTAACTGATAATCCAATGCACTGACAATGAGAACAAATAGTCCAAATTGGAAGCATTTTTGTCCTACACAAACTGAGATATTGTAAACTGAGTATATCGTCCTTGTGATGCACTTCAATGCGCTGTAGTTTCAACCCACTTCATTTTTCTGGAGAAAAATTAATCATCCTGATACTGAAATACCATGCAATCATTTGACTATGAAATTGAAAGCAAATTATATTGATATGAGTATTATTTCTTCTTCTTCTTCTTCTTTTATGTTTCTTAGTTTTCTGGCTCCTTGCGGTACAGCCATTTTTATAATATCACTATTCAATATTGAAATGCTTTTATTTTGACTATCAAATGGAAGACAATTCAAATTTATATGAGTAACTTCTCATTTTTATAATATCATCGTATAGCATTGAAATGCTAGTGTTTTGACCCCTATATGAGTGTCATTTCATTCTTATATAAGTGATATTTCACAGTTATATGATTTTTTTTGAAATGATGAACGTGATAACAGTGAAATGGGAACTATGCTGGCGCCTATTCAATTCAGAAATCTTTTAATGGTTATACAATTTCGTATAACAGCTAATAAATATTTCTATCGGTGTAGAAGTACTACTTTCCGCACTCGTTAGGTAAATAACTATTGATGTGTACCTACCTACTTACCCGAATTCATCTTTTTTTATTCAAAATATTACCCATTAATTTATTTTTTGCGCAGCTGCCCTTACGTATCGTGAAACTTGATTTTCAATTTGAAGGCAATTGACCATGAACAATGTTTGTTTCTTGGCTGCGGCGCATTTTCCATAACTGAGCAATGATTTGAAAGCACATCCTTTCGTTGTCAACTTCGAAAGATGTCGAACAGCACTTTATCAAAACTCCTTCATCCATAGAACGGCTAGGCTCTGGAATTAATTGCCTGAGGAAGTATTCCCAACAACATATAATCTCCAGAAGTTCAAGAAAAATCCCAATACCTACCTCCTATCCCTATTCTCCCTAGGAACGCACGATGTTCTTTAAACATCATAGGGATTTCCTTTCGTGCGCTACAAGCGATGAAAAAAAAAAGTTTTTTTTTTATGATATGGAACAAGGAGTTATTGTTTTGATAACACAGCAAAAATATTGCATTCATATTGATCTGGACCTACTCTCTTTTCTATTTTTTACAGAAGTTTTTTGTTTGGATAGTGGAAGAAGGACATATACAGAGGGTAGTCCACTGACCACGTACCTTTTTTTACATATTTTATTGTAGAAGAGAATCTACCCTGGGCTTTTATCACTTCAACTGTGAAAAACCCCGTATTGATTCATATAATCAATAAAGTTATTAAGTATCATCAATAGGTAAGATTGAGATTAACTAAAGTCTACCCACCTAAGAACAAATCCATATGAAAATGTCTTTCAAAATGAACATTAGCTCCAGCCCGTAATAATACTTCCACAATATCCTTGTTTGGTTTCTCGATGCATGCTAGTGATAAGGGTGTATTATCGAAATGATCTAGTTTATTTATTTTCCCTCCTTTTTGAATGATATTACAGGTTAGCTCAAGTTTGCCCATTCGAACCACAAAATGCAATACTGTTTGTCCAAAGCAGTTTTCCTCGAAATTGTTCTTGAATATATCTTCCGGGATTTCTGTTTCCATGTTATAATAATTTATTGGGATTGAGAATAATTTCGCACGAAACTAACGAAAACGAGAAATGGATTTTTCTATATCAATACTGTATATAAGGTATCTACTTATCCAGATAGTGTTATCTTTGTTGGTTTTATATTAATTCCAAACACAACACCCACTTCAACCACATCAACGAATTTTGTAATAGTTAGTGATGCCGTCGAGACGAGACATTCAAGTACCTCGTCTCGTCGCTTCTCGTCTTGTCTCGACGAGATGAGAGAAAACATAATGAGTGGAGCGAGTGGAACGAGAGAAAACAAGAGAAACAGTTATTTATTATACAAGGGAAAAAAGTAGTTGATTTTATTTGTGATGCAAAATTCCGTGAGCTAAAATCTCATATTTTTCTCGTCTATTTTTTCTGTGACAGGAAAAAGGACGAATCAATATTGAGAAGATATCACATTATATATGGAATCAGAAAATGTTCGACGTGAAATTTGAAGTTTTTAACAGGAATTACACCTGCGTTGCAGGCATCTTTATCATTCTTCTGGAGTATCAATCTGTCAGTCTAATTCATTGATTTGAATTCTGAATCTTGAACCACCCTGTATCTGTTCCGATTAAATATCAGTAAATAGTGAATCAAAAGTTGAGAAAGGGACATGTGAGCCGTTATTGACCGATAATGAATAGTAGGATAAATCGATAAAATCAGCTCTTCAGGGAGAATCTAAAAATGTGATAAAATACAGGATGTTCTATTTGAAATAGTGTAATGATATTTCCCTTAGAGGGGTGGAGGAAGCGGCAGGGGTAACGTCAGAAGAGGACGCCCTGTTACCGAAACGGAGCGAGACCATTGTAGCAGCGCGGATTGAGGGTACATTGGAGCAAGACAGTCCCATCATCATGGAACCCTGGAACCATGACGAGGAAGCCGGACGTGGAATCTTAGTCGGCAAGGCTTATTGTCAGCAGACGACCATGTACCTGTTCGATTTATCAACATAAATAATTACCCTGCCAAAGGAACGAAGATTTGAACCTGTGTCCTAGCAGCCTCCATAATCTACCAGGTGACAGCAACCACTAATGGGGCCGGCAAGTATGAAGAACTCGTCTCTGCTGCAAGCGACTCACTCAACAACCGACAGAAGAAGAAGTTAACCGAGTTACTGCAGAGGTATAGATCCATCTTCATACCTGCCAATGGAAAAACAGGTAGAACCAATACATCGTCAGTCACAAAATCGATACCGGAGATACCAGACCGATTCGTCAACCAGCTCGAAGATTACCACAGGCCAAGAGAGAAATTGCAGAAAAGATCATCCAGGATATGGAACAAGACGGGGTAATCGAGCCATCTAATAGTCCTTGGGCTTCACCAGTGGTACTCGTAAAGAAGAAAGATGGAAACACTCGTTTCTGCGTGGACTATCGCCAATTGAACAACGTGACGAAGAAGGACAGCTAGCCTTTGCCTCGAATTGACGACACACTCGACACGTTGGCGGAATATAATCTTTTCTCCACTCTAGACCTGGAGAGTGGATATTGGCAGGTGGAAATAGATCCGGCAGATGAGGAAGACAGCTTTCACCATCGGCACTGGATTATGGCAATTCAGGGTTATGCCTTTCGGACTCTGCAATGCTCCGGCCACCTTCGAACGAATCATGGAGAATGTGTTGAGGGGACTCTCCTGGAAGACATGCCTGGTTTATTTGGATGACATCATCGTGATCGGTAAAACTTTTGAAGAACATCTGGCTAACCTAGAGGAAGTTTTCAAGAGACTTCGGTCTGCAAACCTCACACTCAATCTGAAGAAATGTCATCTGCTGCAGAAACGGGTTAACTACTTGGGACACGTCGTAGGAAGGCAGGGTGTGGAAGTCGACCCTAAGAAGGTACGAGCAGTGAAGCAATGGCCAGTACCAAAAGATGAGCATCAATTCAGGAGCTTTCTTGGACTCTGCACTCATTATCGACGTTACGTTCGAATGTTTTCGGATATCGCAAAGCCTCTGACTCGTCTCACCGAGGAAGCACGCCCCTTCTACTGGGATCTAGAATGCCAGGCCGCATTTGATGCTCTGAAGGAACGCTTGACCACGACACCGATTATTGGGTATCCACTTCCACAAGGACAATGCATTCTTGACACAGATGCCAGTAATATCGGTATTGATGGAGTCCTTTCGCAGTATCAAGATGGGCGTGAGCGAGTCATCGGGCTATCAAAGGCAGAACGTAACTACTGCGTTGCCAGGAGGAAACTATTGGCCATGGTAAAATCAGTGGAGCACTTTTATAAGTACCTCTATGGACGAAAATTCCTACTCAGGACGGACCACGCTGCATTGAAGTGGCTGGAATTTCAAGAACCCCGAAGGCCAAGTAGCTCGTTGGATCGAGAGGCTCCAGGAATATGACTTCGAGATAGCACACCGCGAGTGGGGACGAGCCATAAGAATGCAGATGCATTGTCCAGAAGGCCATGTCCACCTGAGTGCTCACATTGTAGTCGTTTGGAGGATAAGGAAGCAGCCCTCTGCAGAACCACCGTTGTCAATGAAGATTGGTTACCTGCAGCAATCAAGCAAGAGCAAGAAAAGGACCCAGAACTTCGGAAGCTTCGAGAATGGAAGAAAGCGAATCGCCGTCCTTCTTGGCAAGAAGTAGCACCATCTTTACAGACTTTGAAGGCGTACTGGGGTCAGTGGGACTCCTTGGTATTAGAAGATGACCTGCTCAAGAGGAATCTCGAGAGCGATGATGGTTCGGATAATCGGATTCAGTTGGTCATTCCTAGGAGCCGAGTGTCGGAAGTACTCGGATATGTACATGATGGAACTTCAGGGGGACATCTAGGAGTTTTGAAAATACAATGAGATCAATTCAAACTCATACAAAGCCGAAAAATGAAGAACAATCGTCAAAAAATTGTATTTACAGTATACCTTGTGTTTGTGGAAAGTTTTATACAGGTGAAACCAAGAGACCTCTTTCAGTAAGGACGAAGGAACATAAGTACAATATAAAGAAAAGAAACATCGATAAATCGAAACTAGATGAACATATCCTTACTGAAGACGGACAACATATGGCAGAGTGGAATAATATTTAAATTATTGGAAAAGAAGATAACAACCAGAAGAGAAAAATCAAGGAATCTGCTTGCATTCTTCTGAACGGAGACAATAACATTGTTTCTTGTTCAGTTGATATAGACAGAACATGGTATTCACCACTAAAATCTGAACATGAAAATGGTAAATTCAAGATTAATTAATGAAAACATCCTGTAACTGATTTGATTGCTAACGTCACCATCAATTGTCATTGAAAACTGAAAAGCTTCAAGACATATTATACGACTTTGCTATTGAAATAATCTCTTCTCATGTTGAAAACGGGAGCAGAACCGGTCCCGAAACGTCCAAAGATAAGTGAAAATTTGATATTTTTTCTATATACCTTTATTTCTCTTCTCCAAAAATTTTTCAATACAAATTGTCACTGACAAGCTAGTGAATTTTTCTTTTAGGCTCTCTGATAGGAAAATTCTTTAAACGCAGTGACATTTTGGGGCAAATCATCTGATTTGTCCTTACTACACGTATATTGGAATAATATTCATATTTTTATTTTATAGAAACGAGGAGAGAAAATCCCAAAAAATTTGGAAACCAGTTGTCCCTATCTTCATAACGATCAGAGTGCATTCCAGGAGGAATATGCGTGCAGTGTAATGATATTTTCCTAAGAGGGGTTCTAGAAACATCAACAGAAAGGCAGGAGTACAACGATCATCCTGTAACACGCATCCCAGATTGTTATCCAACCTCCCAATGATTGCTACATGCAACAGCATATTTCCGAACATTCAATAGATGCCGCGGTGACAAATAACGTGACAGAAGATTCTGGAATGTTCTGGAAACAATCGATGGAACAATTAGAGAGAGAGGTATTGTTCTAAGCAATGACGGCTAAATATCAAGTAAGCTGCCGACCATGTCGTTGGTTCTAAGAAGCTTCTAGAACAAAAAGAAGGAGACGGAAGATCATTCGAGAACGTTCTCGAACCAAAGCCTACCAAGGGATCTCATATATAAACGGCCGGACAACTGCCGTCAGTCAGTCGAGCAGCGAGTGTCAGAGAGACAGTTATATACCGCGTGATATAAATCGTTTTACATAAATAGTAGTTGTAAGTTCGATATAAATTAGTGTTTCTCTAGTTCAAATAAATCAGTTCAAAAATAAATAGTGTCGTGTTCGCTTCTGCACCCGAATAACGTAACAATATCAATGTTGCTACTACTTATTTCTAGTAGAAGCGGCAACACTGCATTAAAGTAAATATTTGAAATGAAGAGAGCGTTTTTTAAAATATAAATATGCACATTTTCATGGATTTTTCCCGACTGATTCTCGATATAAGGATAGTGTAAGCTCGTCGTGACGACATACCCTGTATATGTACCAGATAAACATTAATTCTGCTCAAGAGTAAAGTACCTATTTTCATCAATACCTATCGAAAATAATCATCAAATAAAGTTGAATTGAAAACTACGTTCAAATATATAATAACATTTATTATCTACGAATAAAGTCTGGTTTTATTATTTTTTACAAATTCATTAGGATTTTCCGACATATAATATGACTAAAAAGAAGAAAGATATCTGATGTCTGCATCCTTGGTTTTTGACCTTTCAGAACTTCTTATGGAAAATGCTTTTTTCCTCGATTTTTATCGTAAAATTAATAATAAAGAGTTTCACATTAGAATCGATAAGAAATTAATGTAAGAAATAACAAAACATGATATTTATCGTAGGTAGATGTAATCAGATATTCGAACTCAGTTTTCAATTCTAGTCAACTCTTCTATGTGATAATTTTCGATATTGTCGAAAATAAAGGTACTTTACTTCTGAGCAAAATGTATATTTTTTGATATACCTCGTGTACAACTGAAAAAAAATTATATCCGTTATTCGCGTTTTTGGTTTTAGGCCTTACAGGACTTTTTATGAGGAATGACTTTTTGCTAAAACTAATAATGAAAAAGATTCCCATTGGTGACCAACTTTTTCACACATACTGTATACTTTTCTCGAATGATCCAAGATTACCCGAATGGAATTAAATGAATAAATTCTCTCATAATATCAAATATGATTATCAAAATATATCAGTTTGAAATATTCTCTTATCCGTTTCGACCCGTTTACATCTCACCGATAGTGACTTCATGAGTTTACTTACCTACTAATACGAGTAGTTTAGTCAAGTTCTCATAGAGATTAACGTTCCAACGATACAACCGTCGCATACCTGAAAGTGAATATTTCTGAGGTATTCAGGTGCGTCAGGGACTTGAACAACGCCATCGGTGGTGAGACTAATCCCTGGGAGATAATAGAAATCACCAGATATTCTCAGACTATCGGCAATTATATTAATGGTATGAATCGGCCTTAGGGTATGTATTATCAACATTAACGGCATTAATTTCAAAATGCCGTCATCAGTTAATTTTATATATCGCCGCAAATTGAACATTATACTCTTGTCCGAGATTAAGCTCCGTCATGACCTGAGAGTAACGATCAAAGTCGATAGACTAAACGCAGATAGATGAAGAAAAAGGGGGGGGGGTTAGCCATCCTAATCAAAAATAATATTCCCCACTCAGTGGTCCCACCAAGGCACAGCTTAATTGGGCATGCAGGGATGAGACTGCGGGGTGGGAAATTATCGTCACAGCGTACAACAGGCCCAGGAATAGATTCACAGAACAGGATCTGGAGGCGCTGGTTAGTGCTGGTGATTAGGTAATTACAGGAGGGTACTTCAATGCGAGACATGGGGGAACCATGTTAAAAACCAGAACGGGAGCAGGATGGAGGCGTATCTTCAGGCCAACCTGAACTACCCTGATACTCCCACGCACTATCCCGTCAATGAAATGATACCAACAGTCCTGGACATAGTGCTGTCCAAGAACGTGGTAGACATCTCTGACCTGAAGGCAGTAGATGAATTGAGCTCTGACCATCTGCCGGTTCTGTTCGAATTTGGGACTAAACCCCCTGAGAACATAAAAAAAAAATGACTATAAGAACACGAACTGGCGGATGTTCAGGGCTCTCCTGGAGCAAGACATAACGATCAACAACTACATAAAAAAAGATGACATTGATCCAGAAAGGGAAAAACTCATCAAAAGTATTGCCACCACGAGAAGGGTCAGCATTAACTCCAATAAGGATGGAGGAAGTTATTGAGGTCATAGCAGAAAAGAAAATACTAAGGCCTCGCTGGCAACAGCACAAAACACTCGAAGCCAGAGAAAAGACAAGGGCATGCCAATTTTCAGAAAATTTGATCCTTCACTTTAGTCACAATTTTAGATCATTGTTTTTTTTGCCTAACTGCAGTGGCGGTAGCTCGAGGGGTGCATTTTGGGACACATGTTTGAATGGAGAAAAATTGTTATTTCGATCCCTTGAAATATTTACTTCGAATTTTGTATCACCCTATATAAGTGGATATTGATGTCTTCCAAACACGCGCGAAATAGAGCGTGTAAAAGTGTGTGAAGTGTTTGAAAGACCAGTTAGCCACGAATAAGTTACGCTAATTTTTTTATTGGTACACGTTGAAATCATGAATATGGAAATAACAATAATGTGAAATGGTTGAACATTTGTTAGTGATATTTAATTTGACGTCACGTGATATTCCTGTCAGATCAATAATTGAAATGATGACATTGTTTGACTTCACGTTCCTCGGGTCCTTGATAATACCGTGCGTGTTTTTGAAAGTTGGATTTAAACACGCTGAGGCGTTCTTTGAATATAAACATAGAAGGGTACCAATAGAAAAAACAAATAAAGCAAGAAGCGTATAGTATAGGAACATGTATTCATGATAGAGGAAAAGTTAACAGAACCCCTAGCTATGAACTAAAAGGATTCTTCTATTGGTTTTGGGGAATCAGTTAGCTATTTCCAAATTTTCAAGGCGTTAGATAGGGGATATCTCGGGATGTGTATTTGAAAGAGCTGAGCCCGTTATTAGTATCTCTTCTGATATTCTTCCTTTCAGCTGAGTTTTTGGGCGCCTCAAAGTAAAAAATGACCTTGCTGCTGTTCGCGACGTTATTTTGTGAAATGGTCAGCGGCTTTATTGTATTTTGTATTGGAAATGATGATTTGGATATTGAAAAGGCTGATCACAAATTTTGCAGAATTTATTAAGTACATCCATAGATACATTCAATTATTATATTATACTGACTGATTTCCTGTTATATAATCTCAGAAAAATATACATCGATATAACCTATTTAATTTTAAACACAGATTCAACGTTTGGAAGGGTAGGTACCATATTCGAATCAAGTACACTGATATGATGCAATTGATCTCCGTTTTACAAAAGTAATCGATGATATACTGGAAGATTCGGTTCTTTCTGGTTGCTCAGGAGGTGGGAGAGTGTATAGAAGTCGTTTTTGTTCGGTCCGTTCAAGTATCTCAATTCACGAGTAGGGTCGACGTTCCTCTTTTGGGCCACCTGAGAAAAATTGAGTATTTATTATTTGGGCATCTTGGCTCTGCAATCTGCATCTTGCTAGATACAGCGCCGTTCACGAAATTTTTCTCTCTTGGAACGCACGAAATGTAATCTTTATAATATTCAAGGAATATCGTGCGTACTTAGAGAGGATAGGGTGAGGAGGTGTTGGATTTTTTTTCGAAATTTTTGGAGATTATAAGTTCTTTGGGATACTTCTTTTGGCAAAGCATTCCAAAGCTTTGATGTGCTATAGACAAAAGGGTATTGGTAAAAAGTTTTTGGACAAAATTCGAGGTTGACGACAAAAAGGTATGCTAACGGGGCTTATGGAGTCTGACTGGTTTTGCTAGTGTTGGAATGATAGCAAAGATTACTAAAGAACATTTTCCCTTGAAAGTATCTTTAGAAAATTGAAAGGTCAACGACTTCTCTATAGTGTTGCAGTGATGGAATCTGAAAGCACCAGGTTATGTTTGGGTGGTGAACCCCTTATGTGGGAACAGTATTTCAAAACAGGTAGTATCCCGTATATGTGCTTTGCAAATCATAAGGAGATGTTTAGGTGCGTGAAGTAGTCTTCACACGGAATGAAAATCCGAGTTTCTGTGAGGCAGATTTTTCCGTGAAATAGTATTGCCGATGGAAATACCAAGCAGTGGACGCTGGAGGAATGATGATACCAGAAATTGGATATATCAAGCAGTTCCGCCGTTCTCGAGAAAATTCAGGATTGAGTTTCGGTGGCGTTGAACTCAACTAGGTTATTGGTAGCTCTCCAGTCTATGATCCTAGCAAGATCTCCGTTGACAACTTTCACCTGCCTTCGTCGAATTCTCAGTTTCCTGAGAACAAATGGACATTCGGAACGACTTTTGCGACGTCCAACGATACGTTCAAACGGAAAATCCAGACTTATTGGCTCTATAACTGAGGCACAGGTCAGTCTATCCAAATCATACGGGTAGGAACTCCACACACGTTTCATGTTCGAAAGAGTTATCTGTATTGATTCAAAAACAAACCTCTCATATCATATAGAGGAAAAACTTTATAATGAAACGAATTTTATGTTATTTTAAGTTTGAAACTGAGGACTCTGCACAGTGTGCTGCTGAAATATCCAAAATTATCACGTTAGGAATGGACACACACATATTTCATTCTTCGAAAATGTTATCACTTGCGAAACCCTGGTTCAATGAAAACTGTTGTAGAGCTGTTGCCTCCAAACAAACAGCCAATCATCGCTGACGGATAAATCGTTACTGCGTGACTAGAGCAGAATATGTTGAAGCTAGAATCAGTTACAGCGAAACAATAGATCCACCAAGAGAAGTAAACAATCTATACTAATACTATAAAAAGGAAAGATTTGTTTGTTTGTTTGTTTGTTTGTATTGAACAGGCTCCGAAATTACTAGACCGATTTGGAGAATCATTTTACTATCAGAAGCCGAGATCGACCCTGATGAACATACAGGCTACTTTTTACCGCCGAAAAAGGCTTCATTCCTACGGCAAAACGGGTAATAGGACAACGGGTATTATAAGAATTATCCTTCCGTACTCATCTCTTTCACATAACTTTAAACGGCTGAATCGATTGGGTTGAAATTTTATATGGGTATTTCGATGGTTTCCTTGATGATTTAAAAATGCAATTGGACGCGGTAGGTGGCGCTGCTGTCGGTACGTCCACTACTAAACGGCTTGACTGATTGGGTTGAAATACGTAAAACATCAACAAAAAATAGAAAATATACTGAGAGAATGAAAAAAATTGTAAGTAAGTATGTAACAGAAGCTGTAGGTAGGCAGAAAACATAAAAAAATATGTACTGTGGATACGCGCATAGCTCAGAACGACTACAACAATTAAATGTCTTATTTTCTTTGAATGGGTACCCCAACCATGCAAAGCCAGGCCGGCGTCGTTTTGTAAACTGATCAACATTGATAACGTCGTGGTCCAAAATATAGCCTGAATTCAAAATGATTTAAAGTAAAATAAAAAATCCCGAATTTCCTCACCAATTCTTTTCACTGATGATTAGCCTAATCTCTTGACAATTTGTTGTGGCAATATGAAACTTTTGTGATTTCAGATAACATTGCTACAGGGTGATAATTGAATGGGTGTAAAATTGCATCGTGGTCTTCACCTTACCGTTTGAACAGATTTTTTTTCTCACCTGTAACCTCTTGATTGATGCTTTCTCTCGAAAAGTTTTCGGAATTTTCAAATTCAGAGCTTTGATAATCGTGTTATGAATATTCATTCAAACTGATGCATTTTTTCGAAGATTAATTGAATGGAATTGGAAGTTGGAATCCTATTTCGAAGAATCAACCTTGTATGTATAGTCGTCGGATATGTGATCGTGTTCGAACACAGAAAATTCTGAAGTAGGCTTTACAAAGTGATACAAGAAATACTATGAATGATGGAATGGAGAATAAGGTAGTCTTCAGTTGATGAAACATAGTTTCCTCTATGTTACTAGTGAAATAATGGAGTGTTACTTCGTCATGAGGATGTCTGGTATATGACCTCGAAATGGTTTTGTAAAATCTCGGATCGAAGGTCATATAATAAATATGATGCATTTTCGTTAAGATAAATCAGAATATTAAAAAAATTACGATAGAAGCTCCAGAAGTATGAAATTTATATTCATTCTTGACGATGGATATGCAAGGTGCGATAAAAAATATGTCCGGATTGTCCCGGGATGAAGAAGAATATGTTCAAATGTTATGAAAATCGCTATGTTCCCAAAAAGAAATATACTGTCTGTCATTGTCGAGAAGTGTGCAATGTATAAATACAGGAAATATGAAAGAGACTGCAGAATAATGAAGATAAATACAGTAAGTCCTCATGAGGCTCATACGAGGTGATATGAAAGAGATTTAACATATTGGAATGAGCTGTTTTTTTTTCAACAGAATTCGTCAAACCTATAACAGTAGGTTAGATATTATAAATTCCTTATGAATCACCCTGTGAAAAAGATGATGCAGAAATGAACATTCAAGAGTTATTCCATCTCAATTCAACTTGACACTGAATGACTATGAGGAAATTGTCCTCCACCATATTGTAGGTGCTAGATCAGAATAAGATGCAAATATGGTAACAAGTATGCACGAATATATGGTAATTCTGAAGTCTCTTTCATATTACCTCGTATAAGCATCATGAGGACTCACTGTATTTATCTTATTCATTAGTACGATAACATTTTATCGAATCTATGACAATTCTGCAGTCTCTTTCATATTTTCTCGAATAAACCTCATGAAAAGTTACTGTATTTATACATTTCACAATTTTCGACAATCGAAGACTGCAACCTTTGGCACGAAAATACACTACACTGTTTTACCACTAACCAAACAGATTTTTTAAATGCCTCGACACGTGTTTCGCTATAACTGTGTTAGCATCTTTAGGAGAAGATTAAAACTAGAATTGAATATTTAATTTTAATCTTCTCCTGAAGATGCTAACAAAGTTAGTGAAACACGTGTCGAGGCGTTTAAAAAATCGGTTTGGTTGGTGGTAAAACAGTGTAGTGTACTATATTTCTTTTTCGAAATATAACGATTTCCATCACGTTTAAACATATTCTTCTTCATCCCGGGACAATCTGGACATATTTTTTATCGCAAATATTCATAACACGATTATCAAAGCTCTAAATTTGAAAATTCCGAAAACGTTTCGAGAGAAAGCACCAATCAAAAGGATACAGGTGAAAAAAAAATCTGTTCAAACGGTAAGGTGATGACCACGATGCAATTTTACACCTATTCAATCATCACCTTGTAGCAGTGTTATCTGAAATTACAGAAGTATCATGTTGCCACAACAAACTGTAAAGAGATTAGGCTGAAAACCGATTCCAAATTAGTAAGGAAATTCGTGAATTCAGGCTATGTTTTGGACCATGACTTATCAATGTTGACCAGTTTAGTTATACAGCTGGGGCCCGATTCTCGAATCCGTTGGAGTTCGTTCCCATGGGAAAAACTCGATATTTCCCATGGAAATTTTAGATGATGTATTCTTAAACTATTGTATGGAAAACTATTCCTACACATTTCAAGAGAACTGGGAACAACATGTTTCCCATAGGATGAAATACGAAGTTATTCTCATTTGTGATGGGAACTGAACCCTAATTAAAAGTCGGGGAAACATATGTATTGTTAAACATGGAGAACATAGATGAAATAGATCATCTAGAGGCTTTACAAAATTTGGAGGTGGATGGAATCATTGCTAGAAGACCAATAAATCTCTGCCAAGAAGAAGGGGTTTGCCTAGAAGAGACCCATTTGGGCGTTTGTCTGCTGCACGAATTATTGAAGTTTCTCGTTTGTCCAAAGACATTACTAGAGAATAATTGATAGATACTTCAGAATCCTTAGTGAATTGGGTGTGAAATTTTCCTTTTCTCAAGTCCTCAGAGGCCTCCATTATTTCTATTAAAAGTCTTTTATGCTCTTTTCTAATAAATCGTGGTTTTTTAATATTGCTTGTATCCATATTCATTGCGATCAGAGGAGATATAGTAAATATACGATACCAGAATAATGTCACCGTCGCGAAATTATATTATAATATAACCTCAAAATTCGTCAAAATCGAAATATCAACATTTCATTTCAGTTACCAACAAAAATTGCACTTATTTCATTGGTGAATTCATGTAAGTTCAAGAATCTATCTGCGACATACGGAACTTTTTCAATCCCCTGGGAAAAACGGTTCTATCTAGTTCAAGAATAGATGTCATGACAAATTATCATTTCCTATGAGAACTGAAAGCATTGGATCATTCTCCTATAGGATCGAATTCCTACAGATTCGAGAATCGGATCCTCGGTACATTATCATCAGATCTTTTGGTGAGACGGACACCTACCATGACCCTCCTGCTGCTGTCGCCTCCCTCGAGCCCCCTCCATCCGCCGTCCAAAGCCTGCTGGGGCGCCTGCATCCCCTCGTAGGCGTACTTCGGCCCCAACACCCTGTCGTAGCCGCTGGCGTGCGGGTACACCGGGTCGTCCAGCCAGTTCTCCTCCTGGTCCTGGGGCTCGGCCTGTTCCTGGTCCGCGTTGGCCTCGAATCTGCGAACACGATGAGGAGGTCATGTGGGAACACAAGCCAATAGAGCATGAATTGTACTAAGAATAGAGTAAATTGGGTGAATATGCCGCACTGAGTAATATGCCGCAGTTTGATATTTGATACTCACCGGTGAATCATGAGCAAATTGAAAATATTAGTTTTTCTGTGAATAATGTCCATAAAAAGGTAAGAACCGTGTCAAAGATTTTTAATGTTCAGTTATATATTGTGGTGAAGGAAGTTCTAAGTAGATTTGGCCAATTTTAATAGTAGTATGCCAAAGAATGATTCAAAATCTTACTTTTTTTGCGGAACACTTCGTTTTACGTTCAATAAATATGCGTTTCGATTTCATTTGTCATATGATGCAATATGGGGTATTATGCCTCATAATTCTATAATTTTTCAACTGCGGCATAACACCCCGAGCAGCGGCGTACTACTCTTGCCTTTTTTTGTTTCAGATGCCTCGTAGTTTTGTTCGGAAAAACGTAAGAGCTTTATGATCTGAAGAAGATCTTCGTGATACTATTGAAGATCTTAGATATGTTCATTATTCCAAATTTTTTGGGATTTTCTCTCCTCGTTTCTATAAAATAAAATGAAAAGCTTCAAGACATTATACGACTTCGCTATTGAAATAATCTCTTCTCATGTTGAAAACGGGAGCAGAACCGGTCCCGAAACGTCCAAAGATAAGTGAAAATTTGATATTTTTTCTATATACCTTTATTTGCCTTCTCCAAAAATTTTTTCAATACAAATTGTCACTGACAAGCTAGTGAATTTTTCTTTCAGGCTCTCTAATAGGAAAATTCTTTAAACGCAGTGACATTTTGGGGCAAATCATCTGATTTGTCCTTACTAGGAGAACGAGGAGAGAAAATCCCAAAAAATTTGGAATAATGAATGTACCACCTCCTCGATTAACCTACAGACAGTATCTTAGATATGGTAGAGGATCTGTTCGCCAAATTAGCCGTACGTACAACGTTCCTGCCCGTACTTTGGTGAGAAGAATGCGGTCTGGAAATCTCAGCAAAGAAAAATTATGCTGCTGTTATTCCTGATGATGATGCCAACAAAAATGTCAATGAAGTTAATCCTAATGAAACTGGAATCAATAATATTGATAACAACGACGTATCATTTGCAGCGACTGTACCCAATTCCAGTTATACCTGGTCCAAGCTGGTGTCAGAAAAGAAAGCAACATATGCTCCGTTACTCACATGCCCAAAAACAATCGCAGAGGAGAGTAACAAAAAAGAAATAAAAGACAAAAAGGAAACTGCAAAGCTCAAACGTGAAAAGGATAAAATTGAAAAAGATGAGGCCAATGAGGAGAAGAAGAAATGTACACACAAGAAAAGACGTGATGCTATTCCTGAAACCAGTTCATCAGAAAGCAAATCGGAAGTGCCTACAATGGAAAGCGATGAGTCAGATTTGGAGTTCGATGAACCAGAATATTGTGGACAATGCCGTGAAAACTATTTTGATAAAAAAGGTTGCAATATGTGAAATGTGATCATTTATGGGTTCACGAGATATGTACCCCATCGAACATGTATGTGCAGATTGTGTTCCAGATCAAGTACCAAGTACCTCTACAGCTCTGGAGCCATAAGATTTCATAATCTATATATGTTATGTTCTAAAAAATAAAGTTTTTTTCAATTTCATAAAATAGCTTATTTCTTACGAGAATAGCATGTTGCCATATTACCCAATGTGTGATGCCATATTACCCATGATATGGGGTAATATGGCAATAGGTTATTATTATGCATTCTTACTTGTAATCTTTTGCTGTGTGGGAATATGGCAACGAGCGACTTAAGACACATAAATATATTGTTTAAGCTCTAACGTGTAGCCTTCGCCTTTCAGCTAGGCGCGATGGTCATTAGATTGTGAGCATTCAAATTTTATGTTGCCATATTACCCCACTTTACTCAATCTGAAAACTTTCTCAGCGAATATCTTTTAAATGTCTTCAAGATATACAGGGTGATTCATGAGGAGACTCGCATAACCAAATGGTGAATAGGGGAAATCAAGAGGAGGTGAAAAATATAGGGTCTTTCGTAATATGTGAGACGCACTTTGAAAGGTGATGGGGCGTCTCAAGAAAATAAAAAAGTTGCCATGAACAAAATTCGTGAATTGCCTCTTTTGCGAGATTCATGGCGTTGAAGTTGCAAATATTCATAGAATATTTTTATGTCCACCCTTTAAAGATTATCGTAGTGGAAAAATGTACTATGCTATGGGACTGCCATAGTGCCACAATAATAGAATGATATCTATCATGGTTTCAGAGTAATCGGAACAGATGTCTTGAATGGACTTATCCGCAATCTATATCAAATTTTGGAGTGGAATTTGGTTATTCGGTTTTTCTCGAAAACAGTGTATCTTCGAGAGTCTCAACACTTGGTACTTTTTTCTACAAAATTGCATCCTCTTTCATATTTTCAAATGAAATTTCGAAAAGTTTCATCGCCACCCATGTTTTTTCTGAAAAATCACACATCAATACCACTTAACGGTTCCACTGGGAGTCAGATTGACTAAATAATGCTAATATAATAATGAAGATGATACAAAGCCTTAATTTCGAGTGACAACGAAATATGAAAAAACTCCACCGCCCCGCGTGTTAGTCGAACCAGCTCACAACCTCTGGGTTATATGTCCAACGCTCTGCCAATTGAGCTAACGGGACATTCGTCGATCAATCGGCAGGGAGGTCGAGTTCTCATAACACACCAGGCGACAGAATCCTCCTAATTCCTAAAGTCACTATAAACCATTCACTATATGAAATATCGCTGGCAGGATGATACTGTACAGTCTCCATTTATCCTCGTTCGTCCTCTGGTATTGTCTTTCCATGCATACGGAAATGTCCGCAAGCAATCCATACATAGAAAAGTGAGTCATAATGTTTGTCGGTCACGACTGGCGTATTTTCAACTAGGAAAAACCAAATACTCAGTATTTGGTTTTTCCTAGTTGAAAATACGTCAGTCGGGCAACCAGCCATTCCCATTTAACCTGAAATAGGATATTGTTTTGGTGTGTGGTGTGTTTCTTTGCCAGGTGGCGTTCGGCGTTCGCGTTCATTTCGCGGGGTGTTAAGCGTTAGCGGTTAAGAAGCTATCTGGGACAGCCCTGCACTGATGGGAGTCAACAGTTCGAAACCGGTCTGCAGGTAGTCACGCGTTCTTGAACCACTTAGGCGCAGCTCGGCGTTTCGGAAGGAAACACTTGTTGTTCTGCCTGGCATATAGCCAGGAGAGTGTTTGTTTTTCTCTCGTTATCTACCATTTTCGTTCATTTTATGAACTATTCCCTAATAGCACACAACGTCCTAGGGACGTCCCTATTTGGTATAATTCACGTCCGAATGTCCCGAACCAAAAATGAGTGTCCTTTGGACGTCCCATCCCGTACATCTCATGCAATGTCCGAGCAAGGACGTCCACGGAATGTCCCAGCTGGTACATCATTTCAAATGTCCTAGAAATAGCATTCCTTGGACGTCCCACGTGGTACATATCGTAGAATGTCCATGCAAGGACGTCCTTGGCATGTCCCTGATGGGATATGATTTTAAACGTTCCTTTAGGGACATCCATCGGATGTCCCGAGTAGTACATATTCTGGCATGACTTCAGATCTTATATGATGTCCTTTCTAGACAACCATGAAATGTCCCTGATGGTACATTCCTTCAAATATCTCTGCACAGACGCCATTAATATTTCCAGGATCGTATAACAATCGAAATGTCCCTTGGGGACATCCTTCGAATGTCCCTTAGGGATATCCGTCGGATGTCCCAATCGGTACATGAACTGTACTCTTCCAATGTCCTAGAAATAACGTCCTATGGACGTCCCAGTCGGTACTTTCAATATATTGTCCCTGCGAGGACGTTAACTTACACCTCGCTGACAAATGATTGCTCGTAGGCTATAAGTACTCCTCGTCAATGTACTTCACGTTAGTCTATTGGACATCCTTGGGAGACTTTTTGGGGACCTTCTACGGACCATCAACTCAACTGGATGTCCTAATCAGTTATGCAAGATCTGGTCCTAGACGGACCCAGTAAAATACAAATTCAAGAATAATTCGTACGTCCCTGGAACATCCTATAGACAACCTATAGATATCCCTCAGCGTTACTGATAGGTTGTCCTATGAATGTCCTAAGGATGCCCTCTGTAGTGCTTGATGAGGAATACTGTAGGATTTAGGTATTCGATAGTTGTCCCAGGGACATCCCTCAAGGACATCCCTAGTTGGTCCTCAAGTGAGACATTTGTGCGTTCCACAGACGTCCAATGGACGTCCACGGTACCAAATTCGAACGTCCTATAGACGTCCTGAATGTCCCGACAGGACGTCCTAAGGATATCCATGGGACATAAGTGTGTTATTAGGGTTGTAATGACTTTGAGTTTCTCTCTGTGTATTCAAAAAATGTTCAGACACTAGTGGCATAATGAATAGGAATTTCGAATGGGATAATTGACCTACCTGTTCCAGGGATAGCGGTAGTTTTCGCTCTGAGGACGGCGCTGGGAAGGGCGGCCATTTTCGTAAAGGGACAGGAGGGCTAGAATCTCTTCGGGGGTCAAGTCGACTTCTCGTTTGATGCGCGAATCCAATCTGAAATCAAATTGAAAAGTATTAAGGTCACCTTTTGCAAATTTGAAATGTACGGAGTGATGAGTACAAAAATATATACAGGGTGTTAGTGAATTTTAGGAAATAAAGTTCATGTAAACATTTGTCCCAATTTGGTTCGTTTTTGATTGACAGGATGTTGAAGTTGGAAGTATTAATTGTTTTTATTCATCACCCCCCGTATAAATTTACATGATGCCAAAATTCAGTATGGAGACAGATAGACAAAATCTCAAAATTTCAAAATAATTCTTATTGAGGTTATTGAGTAATCTCTGTAACACCTACTTACATACAAATTTTGGATCCAAATGGAATTTTAATTGTTTCCTCAAAAACTAAGTGAGATACAAAAGTAACACAAGGGATAAGAAAGTTATTCCAATTACTCAATCAAATAAAAATAAACCCAGTGGCGTACAATGATATTCAACAGTCCTCTGGTGCTTCTTCTGTGTTCATGATTTATCTCTATTGATAAGGATGCAGTCTTCACAATTCTTGCATAATTTCTTCAAATCGGCAGCAAAATCTGCAATCGTTTCGCCTGCTTGTACTCTTTTGGTAAAACGATTCTGCTCTGTGATAACGCTGGGTGTCGGGTGAAGATGATTTTTGACTGAAGTAATCAACGTTTCATACGATTTCGATTTGGGTTCATCTGGACTGGTTAGGTTGTGTAGAAGTTGTAGTGTTTTCGTACCCATAGAATGAATTAACCATTCCTTTTTCTTATTGTCAATCTCCTCTGCAGTTCCAGTGAAGTTTTTCATTGAGAAAAAGTTTTCTAAACTTCTGATGAATGAGGGTTGCTGGGCTATGTGCACGTGAATATATACCAAAGAAGGGAAGATTTGTATTTCGTGCAAAATAATGTATTCAATATTTGTATAGCAGAGCGCTTTCGACTATTAAGTCATCATCAGTGCGTATACCTGTAAGTAAGTAATCTGCTTTTAGCTATTCGAAAGAAATTGAAATTGAAAATTCGAAAAAAAAATTCAAAAAATTTTTGAAAAATATTTTGGGAAATTTTTTTTTGGGAATTTGCTTGATATTGAAAAAGTGAAATTTGAAAAATAAACTGGTGACTTGTTACTTTTTGATGAACTTTTGATTTGAAAAAGACATTATGATGATGATGATGATGATCATTTGAAATATGTGATTGAATGAAATTGAATGTATACAGGGTATGTATTTCAGTTTGGCTCATTATCACAAATTCAGCAGTACTAGATGTAATGGGATTTCTTCAAACCACTACAAACATACAATATGGCAAAAATTCAAAAACGATTCAATTGAGAACGGATGAAAATGTTTTCAACTTCCGCATTGAATATAATTGAATAATTATCTGCTAGCAAATTATTGATATTGTTAATTTTAACACGGATTTTCACTATGAAACAGATTCTGGCCAATGAGAACAGGACTTTCCATTATGAACGAATTTTCGACCTATAAAAACACGTAGATACTTGTGGGAATAATCAAATGGTCTATGTTTATAGTTTATACATACTTGTTTTGATTGATTAGACATTTATACTCAATTGACATTAATCTGTAGGATACTGTGACTATGTATATTAGTTTATAATTCATTTTGAACGTGTTTTGTTGCTATAGAAATATATAAATAATATTAATTAATATATATAACTTTTGAGTTGAAGTTTGTTAACTATGCATCGAAATATTTGATAATATTTGTTATATAAGTAACATTCAAATACAACGCGTCAAAAGTACAGGCGATTGACCATATTTCAGTTAGAAAAAGTTAGGACATTCATTCTATTTGTTGGCAGCAGTTACTGTCAAGTTGGACTGTCATTCATCATGCATTGTCTTTCGACAATGTCATATATATATTAATTATAATTAATATTATTCATAATTATAATCACAAGTGAAATTAATTAAAATTATAATTATGATTATATAATATTATATTAATTAATATATTATCAAAATCAGAGGGTGCGATTGGGTGCAAGAATTGAAATACAATCATTTTGACAGTGGCAACGACTTTATTCACATTTTGACCTCCCAAAAAGAAATTTCGAACTCTAGAAAATATTTTCAACTTATTTACCAACTGGAGATTTCGAAATACCTATGTTGAAATATAATATATATATTATATAGTTTGAAATTCATTTTTGTTTCCATTACAAGATCTGAGCTACACAATAATCTAAAGAAAACTGCATTCTCTTTTAGAACGATTCGACAAAGATTATATACACATAATTCGTCACGTTTTTACGACAAGCTCCCACAAAAAACGAGATGTATAAACTCAAACAACCAGTTCAAAAAAGCATCTAAAGCATTATTTATCCTAGAAGTTGGCAGAGAATTCATAATTTCATACCCAATAAATATTTTTCAGTTGAAAACGATGTATAGCGAGAATCCAATACACTTAACATCTTCATTTCATTTGTTTGAACTATAATCTTATTAGGGTTAGGATATTATTAGTAGGATAGGAGAATAATAGTTTCATAATGCATAAGTTCATGTTGCGTTGTTTATTGTAATTCAGAGTTAAGCCTTTCAGTATCTCATTATCTGAATGTTTTAATGAATTAATGTATTATTATACACCATACTTCTACACACATCAATTAACAACTCACATTTGTTGATAGCATTCAGAAACCGACGTGCTGGCTATGCCCTATAGTGGGATCTTGTGTTTACTTCGCAACTAGAGTTTCTTTTTGATGGGATTGTATTATATTACTGTATGAATAAACATTATTATTATCATTATTATAGAAAAATAGTGTATGCAACGTATTCATCCAACTGTGATAACGGTTAACGACACTTGCCTTCGGCTCGAATCGTAACTTACTCGTGTGGGTCTCATAATGATGAAAATTGAAATGAAAATTGTATGATATCAACCAGTTTTATAAACTCATTCAGATCATCGTGAATATATCAACAACCATGAACATTTTATCAACATGATATTGTGTGATTTTAGTTTCATCGATACTAAGGTCTCACCGACAGAACAATCCCATCAGGATAAACGCAATTACCTAACAACGTGATATGTTTGGAACATAAAAACCATTAGTAGGGATTAAAAAGCTTTCACTTCTCTACAGGAATCCTGCTTTAGTGGAAGTAGATATATATCGATTCGAACATATACTGCTGAGAGACAAATTGGGCGATATTTTTTTATGCAAGAAGATTCCCTTTGTGGTATTCAGTTATGGGTGCCATTGCAATATAGTTATTTGTTTTACTAGGTAGCAAAGTAGTAGATTGACTGCCGCGACTGATAGTTTCTGGGCTTCTGCTAAGGTAGTCAATCTACATTTGCTGCCGTGTGAAATATATAATTTTTTCTCCAAATGTTATAAAGCCAATTTCGTGTAATCTTCCATTGAAAACTCAATCATTTTGTGTGCACCCAATGTCAGTGTTAATTTTGATTAGCAATTTGAGTCAAATTACTTGGAACATTGCATAGCAACAAACTTTTCCTGCCTACGTAGAGAAAGTACACCTTTCCTGCCTATTGAGTACTATCGACCAAAGTGCCTCGAACATCACTTCACATTGAAAGGAGTTTCGAAATCTCTCAATATCGCCTACTTTGTAAGAATAGCGCGGCGTAATGGGAGAATCTTGCTAAATTTCCGAAGCTTCAAACCAAATTTACAGGCATCATGATACATTCATTTATATTCACATTTGCATTTTCACGATTTTGTGTTTAAATGGAAACGGTGCATCATATTTTCGACTTTCAATGGCGATAATAGTTTATTTACCCCCTTTTGGTACATGAAATCAAACGAATGTTCGCATTTTTAAATAATCCTGACACATTGCAGCAGTCAGTCCATGATGAAAGCACAATACACTCACTCAACTAATAATATAATATCAATATCTGCTTAATAAACTACTAATGCTCCTAATTTATGATATTTCTATCTGAAATTTCAATAATATCATGAATATGCCGAAAACATGACACTCATGATAGATACGTCTAGATCAAGACGGACGGATTATTCGTTGTGCACTGTCGCTTTTGCGTCATGTCTCTAGATGCTTCTCATCAGCTACATCTAGTTCAACTTCATAAGGTAAGATTCAAAACGCTTTTTGAAATTTGTCAAAAAAATTGTTCATCGTGCACGCCATCTATCATCGAATATGAGAACCCCACGTTCCGAACTCGCATTCAATCGTTCATATCGGGAGCTAGTCTGACGTAACAATTGAAGAGTGGGCACACGGCACCAATTGAGTTCATTGCACGGCACACCAGAGGAGTTATAAACATCTCATTGTCATCATTCTGATACCTAAAACGTCAGTTTTGAAAATTTAATAGGCGTCCCCGCGGCCGAAAATGTTGTCGAATATGCCATTTATATTTGAGTTGCCCAAAGACGAGCAGACATTTCAAGTGTTCCTTAAAGCTCCAAACTCCAATATTCATTTCATGAAAATATATTCAATGATGTAATCTTGATATAACTACATAATGAGCTTTAGTATATATAATATGATTTCTATGGCTTTATCTGCCTTTGGTGTTACGCCACTGTTAGGGTTTGAAATAATGATATGTCTGCACTCTGCACTCGTTCAATGAAGGAGTATAGAAGAATCACATTCCATTGGGCAGGAAATGATATGTTCGAGGCTCTCTACTATCGTCCACCAAAGAATATTGGTGGACGATGTCTCTACTATCGACAAGAGGTTATACCTTTGAAAAAAATTTAGCCATCAAAATAAGACCCCTTTTCCGCCAATTTCTACTCATCGAGAGCTAGTCGCTCATGGAAGGCATATAAGAATGTAATGAATCTTGGAGAATGAAGCAACGTTGCCATGGTTCATAAACATGGTAAAATAGCAAATGAAGTAATCATGACTAGAAAGTGGATGTTTCTTAGGTCTGAGATCTTGGACATTGATAA